CCCCCCCCCACCACGCTCTGCCCTCCCTATCTGAACTTATATCCCCGCCGTACGTATCCCCCCTCTCCCCTCCGCCCCTTTTCTTAGCTTGTAGTGTCTGTCCTTGGTGCTGAAAAGAGGTCTTCAGGGCAGCGTGCAGGGAGATGTTGTAGCTAATCTCCAAGCAGATGCTACGGTGGCAAGGCAGTATCCGTGCATTGGCCAGAGGAGTGTCCATTAGCCACAGAAAACGTTGTAACGTTATAAACTTACTCTACTGTAGGGAATTCGAAGAGCATCCTTATCATGCACCCTGCATACAACGTCTGACTGTATTTGTATATATATTGTATATATTTGTTTAATATTGTGATATACGATGTCTTGTATATACGTTTGCATGTTGCATTATATAACCTCAGGAAATATACATGTATAAAAGTCGGTACAGTTGGGTGGTATATTACCTCAAAATCATGTCTTTGAACTAAAATTAAGTATTTTGATGTGAATGTTTCCCAGTCCATAAATGTAACGATGTTTTACAGTAGGATAGCTGAGGACTTTTGGGTTCTTGTTGTATGTAAATATAGACTGTTGTACTAAACCAGGACGATTTTGTGTCATAAATTAATGTTGTGTCGGAGTGACTTGCAAACAGCACATGGAATGGAAATACGCTCACGAGATTATGCAAAAAGCACAAAGATTGGGCAATTTCGTGGCCAATTGGAGATGGTAGGTTGACTAGTATACCGACAGAATCGCATGAGGCAATTCCTTATAAAGTCGCTAGATGTCGCGACAGCACGGGCTGACGGAGTAACGTGACTCATATATTGTTCGTGAGGCTGACTCATAGATAGAGGCCAGGCTAAGGAAATCGGAAATGCGGACAGAACAACTTAATTCTAGTCTACCAGGTAAACAGTTACTACATTTGAAAAAGGAGCTTCCGCTGCAGTGCCGTTAGAAGCCGCCCGGGAAGTCAAAATCGAACTTAATTTAACCAGCCATATGACTGCAACTTTTTATGGACCATGTGCAATTTGAAACGATCACGTGGTCCGGCCGGTAAAAAGACATCTCAGGAGGGGGGAGACGGAACAGACGGGACGGCCGTTACCGTGGCGACGGCGGAGGGGAGAAGCCGCGGGGGATGTCGGGACATCTGGCGCGCACTTTGCCGCACAATGCTGAGGTCAAACGTTGGGTGAAACAACAGCCGGGCTTCAGCAACCACTGCCTGCGCCGCACAAAACGGGCAAACGGTTGTAAAGATGACAAATTCTGGCACGTGTTGGTTCTGATGTTTGTAGGGACTGGCTAATTGGTGTTGAAGGACGTGGCGAATTCGGTCTTGAAATTGCGCTTTGGTGACTTATTGGGGTGAAACACTAAGTGTACCGTGTGAGCACCGGTATGCTGTCTAAAACAGCAGTTCTGTAAGAGTTGTGATCTGTGTGTTTCATGTCATTTATGCTGTCTGGTTATTTGAACTAAATTCTGATAGAAATTCTGATCTTCTGTCATTTCATAATCTATTATAAAGCGTCTACTGTTGCACGAAGCTTCATACCTGCACTAGCTAACAAAAAGAGCGGGGTGTCAGTCAGCGAAGAACATGAAATATGTTGCCCGATGTAGCAGTTCTATTAATGCTGCAGTTATCTTATCTTTATTATCGTAATAATAACTCTAATATAGTTTCATTACATTATAATGTATACGCACCCGCGGTTACATGAAGCTTCATACGGCACCGACATTATAAAGAGCCGGAGGGGAGCCAGAGAACACGAGTCCTCAGCTTCACGGTGTTTAGCTCCGAGCGCGAGCTTTAAAGCGCAGCGCCCGATGCCGGGGAGGGGCCGTGGCGAATGCGGCACAATAGATACGGACACACGTTATGTACGGAGCACACTGGAAGCCCCGCTCCTTTTACATAGGGAATTGTTATAGACCCAACAGGCTGGCCACACGCCCGCTTTTCCATAGTACTTGTCGTGTCCAGAACCGTACTTTATCTAGTAGGACACGGTTCTGGATAGTCCACGCGTATCCAGAACCGTGCCTGGGACAAATCTACGTTCTTGGATACGATAGAGACTATCCAGAACCGTGCCAGATCCTAACCCTAACCCATTCAGGCATAGAACTATAGACAGGCACGGTTTCGGATACAAAAGTGCAGGTGCAGTAGAGTGTCCCCCACGTGCCAGTGTCCGCCGCTTTTGTCCGTCCTTTCAAAAGAAGCGGCCTGTTGCGTCCCGCCATTCGGTTTGTTCCACTTTATTAAACAGTTCTACAAGTGGCAAATCTCCAGCTGTCATGGTTTGACTGGCAGAGAGAGCACAAAGACGCAAAACTGACTGTCTCCCACACAAAGGCACGCGCTAATGTACATCTACTCTATAGCTGTCACATGTCGGTGACTTTGTACCACATTTTCCAGCCTTGCATCCTATACGATTAAGAAAATGCCTCAGCCTAACCTTAACCTTCAGCCTGCTAAGCCAGCCGTTTGGCACCAAATCTAGCTGTACTGGACAATGGGTTAGGCAGCCTACAACCTGCGTCCTTCGACAATAAAAGATACAACTTTCAAAGCAGTTGCCTCCTCTATTCCTTGTTAATAACATGTACAGGTTAACCGACATTATACCGATTCACCAAGGGTGGATTTCCCAGCGTCTTTCCGGGGTGTCACAGTATGACCGAACTTTTTGTGTTCTCCTGTTTCATGGCTGGCACGGCAAGACCAAACGGTTCCGTCTCTGTCAGTTTTAGAACAGAACAGTTTGATGACACCGACTGTCTGTGAGGAACATGTTGTACCCGGACAAAGGCGGGAGGGGAAGAAGGACACGGTGTGTAAAGAGTTACTACCTCTGTAAGGATGTAAAGACAGCGCCGTACCGTAGTACAGTACAGTGGGAGGGAAGAAGGACACGGGTTATAAGTTAGTGTGTTAGGGTGTAAAGACTAAAAAGAGAGCGACGGTAGTACAGAACAGAGCGGTCAGCCAGGCGGAGCTTTGGAGAACACGAGAAGTTACAGAGAAACAATCGCGCCCTGGCGGTATCTGTCTGGGAGGTCTCAATGTTCTGATAAACGCATGGACTGATGACATGTTTCAAGCTAGTCTCTAAACAGGGCACCGGCCTTTTTAGGGGGGGGGGGCGTTTTTGTAAAGACGTTTTCGGGCTTCCCTTTTTGTGTTGGTCTTTCGGTCGGTATCCTGAAAATTCGACACAATAGACGAGGAGGGGGCAGTCGGTCTTTACCTCCCAGGTGAGCAGAGTGCGCGACAAAACGTCTTTAGAAAACACACAGCCTTAAACCTCTGCTTGTAGTCGTTTATATACCAGATATCGCGTTGTTTATGTACCTGAGTTTACCGGACAAACAAGCGTTGTTTATGCTACTGAGTTTACGGGACAAACACTCCACACCTAATCATGTCAAATTGTCCCTAATAGATCAATAAAGCTATACATACTTAAAAATTACACACAAAAAAGAGTCACAAAAAATTCTATTCGTGCAAACATTATGGGGTCAGTTTTGACCCCATACGGCAAGATTCGTCGCAAAAATACCTACGGTGGTTTGAGGGTTAATAAGCCAGGTATCGCGTTGTTTATGTACCTGGGTTTACGGGACAAACACGCTACAATGACCACCGCTGATAACAGAACATCGCCGCCGGAATCTCTTGCTTGCGGTTTGTTAGAGAAGCGGCGAGTCGTGCCACAGCGCCACTTGTGCGGATTTGTGACGCCTTTCCGCGCCGGATTATCTCTAATCCGTGATTAACGAGCGTTAATCCGGAAAGATCTCTTTGTTTTTCTCACAGTCAAGACTTCAAGTGGCCATCAACTCTTGTTAAAGGTTACAAGAAGGGTTTCAAAATAACAGTGTAACTATTTGAAGCATCTTCATGTTGAGGTGATATGACCACTAATGATATTCCTGAATCAGAGGACTCCTAGGTGTGGGTTAGGATTAGGCACGGTTATGAATACTAGTTGTCTCCGCGTATCCAAGAATGTAGATGTGCCCCAGGCACGGTATGGATACCCGTGGACTATCCAGAACCGTGGCTGAGCATGGTTCTGAATACAAGAAGGAAGTTCTAGCCTCCATCAGGCTTCGGGAGGCGGCCAAAAAGAGAAGAAATTGGCCTAATAGAGAAATTGGAGATAGCATGCCAGGGAGTTGGCCTGCTGGAGAAATAGTTTGCCGCTCCCGAAGCCTGGTAGAGGCCAGGCAGCTTCCTACATACTAGTACATCAGGTCGCATCTGGTTGCCAGGCGTGCCCTTCTCCACCTGGTTGCCACGCGACGACCAGAGACCCCAGCCCTGCCCTGCCCAGCATGTATCCAGTCGTAATGAGCAATCAGCGGCGATCGGCACTGATTCAGCAGCGATCAGCCATTGTTTCTACAACAGGCGTGACAAATTCATGGTTTCGGGAGGGGAAAATTATTCAACGATGCGAGAGTGGTGACAGCTGGGGAGCGGAGGTGCTGACTTCGGCAGAAATTTTAATACTGTATCTCCCGGGAGAGATGTATGGTCATGGCTTTGGCTGCTTTACACTTTAAGCAGACGGGTTTATAGGCCACTTTTGGACATTTTAAAGATACCTTTCAGGCGTTCTACCAGGCTTTCTTTCGGCCTATTTTAAAAAGTCCGAAAGCAGGCATTAAACCTCTACTATGAGAGTAAAAAAGCGACAAAACAACCACTTTGCACTCGCTACAACGTTAATGTTTTCAGTACTCAGTGCCGCTATCACAAGATACAACTTGTGGGTTGCAAAATGTTTTGTGTGTGAGAGGAGTGTAGTTTCTTTACAGATCTATTCTGACTAAGGTTCCCGAATCGTTCGCTATGTACAGCGCTTACTACACACTTAGCAGACGTGTCAAGTCCAGCTTCGGACACCTGTTGCATTGTTCATCTGCAAACACGTGCATTCGTCTCAATCAAGAACTGCCGTCTGGGCAGACTTTTTAAAGTGTTTGAAAAACAGCTTTGTCGTCTCTCATTGTTTTCCTGTTTCTTGGAAACCTTTCATAGTTTCCACCCGACACACGGCCGCCGACAAGACCGTTCTGGCTTTTGAGTAACCATTTGTCTAAATCACGCTAAAAGAACTGTTGTCTGGACAGACTTTTTAAAGTGTTTGGAAAACAGTTTTTGTCATCTCTCATTGTTTTCCTTTTTTTTCGGGAAAACCTTTGAAACTTTCCAGCCGACACACGGCCACCGACAAGACCGTTCCCGCTTTTGTGTGACCAGTTTTTACCAGCGCGGCTCTCCCCGACCCCCTGACCCTAACCCCGCGGCTCGCGTGCCCGCCACGCCCAACAGCAGATGTTACGCAGATCCACCAATCAAACCTCACCGTAATTTCTGCAGAATTTCTGCAAACTGCGGAAAAACAGGTCATAGAGAGACAATGGGCTGGGACAATGGGAACCCCTGGGGACGAGACCGTTGGTCGTTCCCAGCGTGACTGGGCGCGTGTCGGGCAGACGGCCAGTCGTAACCCAGATGGCTGTAAACTGTGTTCCATACAAATGTTCCATACACATGCATGGCCGGTACATTCACATGCATAGCCAGGACATACATTTGTGCGCTAGCCTCTACCAGGCCTCGGGAGGCGGCTACAAAGAGTAGAAATCGTCCAAATAGAGAAATAACATTCCGAGGGGAGTTGGTCTGCTGAGAGAGAGTAGCCTCTACCAGGCTTGAGGAGGCGACTGGAAAGAGTACAAATCGGCCAAATAGAGAGATAACATGCCATGCCGGGAGAGTTTGTCCGTCGAGATTTGTACTCTTTCCAGCCGCCTCCCGAAGCCTGGTAGAGGCTAATTGTGCGCCATACACATGCATGGCCGGTACAAATTTGCACAATCCACCAGCTGCGTGTTGAGCGTTTGTGAACAAGCACGGGACAAAAGCACAAACGTTCCACAACGGTTTTTGTTTTTCTTCTGTAATACCTTTGGGATCATTTTTCATGTCCTGACAGTTACAACCAGCCATCTACAAGTTCGCCAGTCTGTTCCAAATTGTAGTTTTGTCGTTGGCATACTTTCTAAGGAGAGGATGGGCCTGTTTTGAGACTAAAGTTTACAAGTTTTGTCGGATTTTCCCGACCCGAAAACCCAACGGAACGTCTGCAAAGCTTGAAAAACATCAAACCCAGGTGAAATGTAGTTGGGGACCAGAGAGCAGACGGGTTATGAGGGAATGATTGCCCCTCATATATTATTGCCTGGTTATGCACCATTATTTTCTCGTTCCAATATTGCATAAGGACCTTAGAACGACGTGTGTTATTATAGCAATAGGCCGCTGCTGCGTCCAATCACGCAGATGTCATCTTATCTGTAAAGTTTGACCAGACTCAATTTCTCTGTGATATGTATTTTGGAATTAGCTAGTGGGTTGGAGGGCAAATGGTGGCCAAAATTTCCTGGGAAATTATTCTCTTTCAGCGCTCGTTGCTAGTGGTAGGACCATGGAGTTACCAGCGTAGTTACCTCCATGGTAGGACGTAATGAATGGTCGACAGCAGCGTTATCTGCACTTGACATTCATTTCCCAGGCCCAGTACTCTCAAAGTAATGTGGTTTTCTCGGTATATAAAACCTGACGACTTTCGTCAATGTTAGATCTTCAGTCTCTCAGACATGTCAGCCGACGTCTGAATGTTGAAGTGCGCCCTTCTGCCATCTCCGCCCGCCCAGCGCCAGCCTTCTCTCCGATAGCTCCACATGACGCGTGTCAGACTGAAGGCCGTGACCTGTACCAGGGGTCAGCTGGCCGGGCGGGCATGGTGTCACTAGGCCAAGACCATTCCGACGGCTTAGATAGTCTGGATGCCAGACCCGTAGCACACTAGGTCCAAAGTTATCGAGTGTGCACTGGATAACTTTGGGCCTAGTGTGCTACGGGTAGTGTGCTATGGGTCTGGCATCCAGGCTAAGGTTTAGGTTGCTCTTCAGCCTATAAAACTGCTAAAAACGGCGCACTCAGGACAGTCAACATTCTAGTTTTGCTTAAAATATCGCGAATGAAATCTGGTCTGCGTGAGAAAGCCATAGATTTCTCTTTGAAACATTGATTACACAACAATAACTCAACCATAGAATCAGTCTGACATTTCGCTAAAAACTAATGCTTTCCAATATCGGCCTTTGAAACCGGCCTAAATTCCGGTGTGGTTCTGTGGGGGTGCCATCACACACGCCCACCACTGACTGTAAATGAATGACACCAGTTTGTAAACATGTGTGTGACAAGACCAAGTGAAGAGGCCCTTGAACCCCAGACAGACTGTACGGGGCGACCTCGAGTGGGACTTAGATGTTCAAGTACGCATTTATCACTACTCAATGGGCAGGTCAATGGGGTGATGTGGAAAACCGTTAAAGACCATTATGGCACATTTATGTTCTTACAAGCTAAGTACAGGTCATGTTGATAAAGGTCTACCGGTATGTACAGTAACAGTGATACAAGGGGCCATAGTATCTTACTATACTACATCTCCACTGTAACGCCTGACAAACATACTTCATCTACAGTATAGTTAGTAGTATGTGTAGGTTCAACTTCTTCTCGCTTATAATTGTCCAGGGGGAGTTTGGCCACCATAGACCAAGGGCGTTATATCAATACAGATTTAATTACCCAAAATGTTACCCCTACTGTGGTTCACCCCCCCTGGCCAATTTCTGACCTTATTTTACCGAATCGTAACACCCATAACCCCTTAGGACAAAATGTAGGAAGGCCTGGTGGTGGCTAGTAAAAGCCCAGGTTGTTGAGTGACAAACTACCATGGGAACGGGAAGTGAAACTGCCCTGGGGACGGGAAGTCGGTCCGTCTGGTCTGGTATTAAAAGTGACTAAAACACCGCAGTGCTGTGCTTGAATGAATGGTTCTAATTAAAAAGAGAAGTCCTAAGGAGATACAGATTGCTTCAGATTACATGCCGTAGCCTGAGGTTTTATATAAATGCATTTAGAAGCTCAAGAAACTGGCCAAACAATGCAGGTCTTGCTACTAAATGCACTGTTCGCCTGGCTGCAATTATCACCTTAACCGCTAGGAGAACACCGACACAGTGCGCCGCCTTGGTGAATTTTGTCGTGCGGACCGGAAGTAGCAAACACAGGTATCACTACTAGTAAATGAGAGGTTTAACTTCTGTAAACTCCAATAGATATTGTAGCGATGAGGGTCCTTGAAAGTAGGAACTGACTAATACCGGTACACCGCACCAATTATAAACAACCATTTCCCGTATAGCCAGCTTTCGCCACACCACTCAGTCTAAAACACCGGAAGAAGCTGCATCTGTAGCACCGGTCACAACACACATAAACCTCAAGAAATGTCAGGGTCTTCCTGTGAATACCAAGTCTTTATGCGATCACGCAAAGTTCAGATCCTGTTGTCTGGCTTTGTACAATATCTATTGGAGTTTACTGGAGTTCAACCTCACCTATGACTAAGTAAAGTAACAGTTAGTTTTCATATTTGGTGGTAAGGTTTCGCGTAGTCCTTATAATTATATAATTCCTTCCGATAGATCAAGTCAAACTTCGAGCTTCTTGGATCAAGATTGCTCGCTCTTAGAACAAAATAGTTTCAAAACACTCAAACTATTTTGACCGCGTACTTTGGGTTCACAACGCTCATATTTGGTAGTCAGGTGCAGGGAAGTCCTAATGACTTCCAATCGGTGCCATACCGGTAGTGTTTTGTTTGTTATTATTCCACAGAAGCTTGTGTGTAGCCCCAGTCCCTCTACCATCCCACCCAAAACAGTTTCAAAACAAAACTTAAAACTGTACGTGTTGCGTTGCGACCGTACATCGAGTTCACAACGCTCATATTTGGTCGTCAGGTGCAGGGAAGTCCTAATGACTTCCTATCGGTGCCATACCGGTAGTGTTTTGTTTGTTATTATTCCACAGAAGCTTGCTTGTAGTCCCCGCCCCTCTATCATCCCACGTGGGACTCGAACTCGGGACTCCTAGCGCAGCCTAGACCTAGATAGATCAAGTCATGCTTTTGGATTCAACTTCAATGTTGTTCTTTCTTAGATAGAACCATAATCGTTTCATAAATAATACTTGTTTGTAGTCCCCGCCCCTCTACCATCCCACGTGGGACTCGAACCCGGGACTCCTAGCGCAGCACACGTCACACCCGGAGACCTGTGGGGGTCGGACCTATCAACAAGCACCATGCATGTGCAAATGAGGGATTTATCAGTGGGCTGGTAGGCGGGTACAAGTTACGGTCCGCGCCTGTGGCAGCTCGGGGGCATTGTGTCAAACTGACAGGGCAGGCAACAGTCCTGTAGCGGATCCGGGCATTGTGGCAAGCTGATAGTAGCAAGCTGACAGGTCAGGCAACGGTCTAGTGTAGCGGCCAGACCCACATCTGTTGTGTTGGGGTATCGGCCGGACGGTTGGAGTTTTCGGGACGCAGCAAACTTCAACGTTCAAGTCGCACCTTGGGACTGGAAGGATTTGCGGTTGGAATTTTAGCGGCAAGCCTTATTAGATAACACAACCGTCTGCGGGAGGAAGGGTTGAGTTTGAGCGGAGGAAAGCTCGTCTTCGTACGTACTGAAACTTCTTCGTGGTTGTGGTGCAAGGCGGTGGCGGCAACTTTTGGTTACTCGGCGTGCGGTGGTGTGTTGTGGCCCAGTGTGGTACCGACCGTTTCGAGTTTACAACTGCAGCTGGCCACCGTGATTTACTAGTACTGGAAACCTGTGTACGCTTGTGAGAAAGATCTCTCTACCGGGTACAGAGATATCTGTGTACGATTTGATAACATTCTGGGCGAGGCTACGTACAGTGAATATCTCGGAGTTTCCAAATCGGAGCACGTCCGCTTTAGCGGGTTATCGCGCGTTGACCTAGATCTACATTCGCCGCTTGGCTATTTTCGTACGCGGACGGACCCCGTTGGTCTAACGGAAGTTTACCGGGACGCCATGGATTTTTCCTCGGACTGCTGCGGGCTTCCGGGCCGACGGACCCAGTGGGTCGTCTCGGCGCTGGCTCACCACTACGGGTTCGACCGAGGCGTCGAGAACGAGGTGGTGGTTCTCGCTACAGGAATGGATCAGTACATACAGGTACATACATGTCGATGTTGTATATCATATGTATATGTAGTGCAAGTCTTTGAATTTAGCATTTTCTTCAACTTTTTGAATTGTAAGAAGTCGACAATTCAGCCATTTAGGCTAGCCTCCGTAGCAGGCTTATAGAACTGGGGGTTTGGTGGTCTTCGGCTGTTTTCTGATTAGCCCAGTTCTAAAAAAACGGGTGTAATTCAACCATGCCGGCTATGTACAATCAGAAAATAGCACATAAAGGCATCCAAAGACCCTGAAGACCCCCAGTTTTTGGCATGCTATGCCTATGGAGGCTACAGTTAGGCTGCCATAGACTTTTAAAACGTGTATGTTTACGTGAAGAACAATAAACCTGTCATCATCATACATCATCACACAGGAAATTTTTCACCATCTGGACGAAAAGGCCTCGGGGACAGTCGAGCGGGAGGACTTCGAAATCCTGTGCCAGATTCTGGGACTAGAGACCAGGCTCTCCGTCTTCAACGATCTTCCTGACACGATAGACTTCCGCGTGTTCCACTCGAAGCTGTGCGAGTACTTCTGTACCAAGACCGGGAGCGACACGTGCAGACCTCACGTCTGTAAAGACACGGAACTGATAGAAACAGAAATTCACGTACGGAGTCCCACCAACAGGCGAGAAGTTTCCCTCTGTCCGAAATGTTTCTGCTCTAAACCGACCAGAGAAAGGTGTCTGGGGCGGCCGGTGGGGCAGGAGAAGGAAGAGGAAGGGATGGAGACAGCAGAAGAACATCTGGAGAAGGCCAGGAAGCGCGTGGTCCAGCTTGAGGAGGAGGCTGACTGTCTGAGGGAGGTTGTGGAGGATTTGAGAGGAGCGCTACAGACGAGTGACGCCCGGTCACTGGCCTTACAGGTTGGTACAACAAGCCAATATTTCATAGTGCCTCTAGTAGCCTCGGGTTCCTGTAATGCAAAATGTATATAGAGTGATTTTGTTTAATTAACATTTGTCATTTTTTTGTACATAGACCTTTAAAACCAAAATGTACTGCTTTGTAGTTTTATGTGAACAACACTATTGTAACAGTAACTAGCCTGGATGCCTGACCGAATTTCATTGGGAGCATGTTAGCCCGGTAGCCGAGGAACTGGTCTATGTAGCCCCTGAACAGTCTGGCACCCAGGCTATATTGTAACAAACATATCGGGAAAGGCACACCTGTCATAGCCTCTACCAGGCTTCGGTGGGGGGCTGGAAAGAGTAGAAATTGGCGGCCAACTTGAGAGAAAACATGCCGTAGGAATTGGTACGCTAGAGAGTACATGTTGCGGAATCCGGAAGGCGTTGTGTAGAGGCTACACCTGCCAATGTAAAAAATTGTAAGAAACAATGAAGTGTACTTACAGGTGGCGCTACGAAAAGCGCATCGGCACCACCCGGAGTGCTGCCTCAGGACCGGGGCGACCGTAACGTCCCGGCGGGCGGAGAGGAGGGGTGCCGCCGCCGGGGCCAGCAGGGCGGCCCGGTCCCGCAGCGCGGACGGCAGAGGGTACGAGAGCTGGTCGCTCCCGCGGCGCGGCAGGACCGCAGACAGGCTGAGGGCGGCACGGAGGGACCATCGGGAGGACGACACCGAGTGGCTCGCAGGTAAAATACATCTAGTCCAACTTGTACTTACATTGCAGAGACGTATCCTGTCGAGCTACATTTCTGCTATTGGGGTTGGATTTCATTTATGTAGCAAGTGGTAGGACAGAGTTGGATATACAATTTACTTGCGTTTGAGTAAGGGCTGTGGTGACCAGCCCCTCAAACTCCGTCCTGCCACTTGCTACATAGTGAATGTAAATACAATTGTACAAACGCTGGTGAAGTTTCGGCTGATCAATGCGCTGGCGCACTACCCATCGGTGACCAGCCCCTCCAGCTCTGTCCTGCCACTTGCTACATAACTACAATTATGTTTTTACAAATTACAGAAGTTTCTAGCCTGATCGAGACGCTGTCGTGAGTGACCAGTCCATTAAACTTTGCCCTACCACTTGCTATATAATTACAGGCGAAGTCTCCCGACTCATCGACACCCTACCGCACTCCCCACGGGAAGTCGGCGCGATGCTACGCGAACTGAAGACCATCCGTGCGGCCCGCGACTCGCAGGTTGGCGAGGCCATGGCCTGGGCGGAGACCCTGCAGGAGGATCTGGACGGCTCGCGGTCCGCTCTGAGGGACATACAGGTGCTGAACGAGTCACTCGTCAGGCAGAAACAGTTCATACAGGTGGGTTTTTAGTGAGAGATGTTACAACTTGCTACGATCTAACATGTGGTTTCATTAAAAAAAAATCAAGTGAGCCGTTCAGCATAAGCATGATAATTCTTGGAGAAAAGTGTCTGTTAGTATGATGGAGTAGCGTCTACAGACTTAGGTCTATGGAATTTAAAAAATGAATCTGTGGCGTGTCGACTAGCCGAGTGGCTATTGACGGACACAGGTTTGATTCCTGGCAAGACGTTGCGTCCTTGGTGTGAAATGGGTTCCCGATTTCAGTTCGGGACTCCGGGGAAAAGGCAGTGGAAGGAGAGGGATGGGCCCCGCACTTCTACTCTCCAAGCAGAGGTTTGGGTTTTGGGGGTATTTTTAGCGTGTTTTTAGGCTTCCAATACCGTGTTCTTGACACAGTGGATTAACAATCAATTAGCACTACGGCCTCGAAAAGGCTAAGGGACTAGTTTTACTTTTTTTAGCGTTACTGCTTCACTGAGCGTAATGTTGACACTCTATTCCATATTTTCTCCCCCCAGGGTGAGTTGGAGAAGGCGCGCACAGCCCTTCGGTTCGGTCTGGAGAAGGTGCGTGACCTTGAGGCGCAGGCGACGCAGGTTCCGCTGCTGCAGGCCAAGGTCATGGAGCTGCAGAAGCAGCTAGACATCTGCCGGTAGGTGGCGCTTTTTTTCGCACATAATTTTTTGCGACGTCACAATTTGCGCGAATTAGTTAATTACATTCGCTATTTATTTAGCGAGAAAATAACTTAGCACCACTGGCGTTTTTCAATGAGCTATGGGGACACTAGTAGCTTGGGTACTATCCTAACTTTACAACATGGAGAAAGTTTTCTACCTCCATGTTTACACCAAGGCTCATATACTCAGCTTTTTCGGGTCAGCGAGTTTTTCAAGGCTATGCAAGTTATGCATTCTTTTCAAGTTGAACCTATTTGTAAATGCTTACTACATTTGTCAACGCTTTTCTAGCTTGTGTTAGCACTCATGATGCTGCTTTTATTTTGCAAACAACGTCCGCCAAGCACGTATGATTTGGGAGTGCTTGCGTCGTCACTGTGTTACTGTTTGATAAAATTTTCTTGCACGTCGCGAATGTTGGAAAGGACTTGTTTCAAAGAGGCAAGGGAGAAATATTTCGTTGGTAGACCATGACGGTTTCCGTTTTGTACTCTGTGGTTTTGTCCCCGAATGTTCTACATGTTTTTGTTGTGCAGAAGACTCTCGACTCTCTCCTTTTATCGCCTTTCTCCCTGCTGACAGAACTGACCGATGGCCCAGATATTTCCCAGAAACTTGATAAACTGACGAAAGGTATTTCACACGCTGGGAGGGCAAGAGGCTGAGTACTAGTAATTTACTAAAAATCGGCCTAAAAAGAAGGTAGCTGGCCAGGGAAGTTGGCCAGTCATAGACCATCAGTTTGCCTGGTGACTAGTCCTGACTAGCCTCTACCAGGCTTCGGGAGGCGGCTGGAAAGAGTAGAAATCGGCCAAATAGAGAGATAACATGCCAGGGGAGTTGGTCTGCTGGAGAGAACATTTAGGGTGTGGCAACATGTTCTCTCCCATCAGACAAAACTCTATTTGGCCGATTTCTACTCTTTCCACTCGCCTCCCGAAGCCTGGTAGAGGCTAAAACTCCTGACCGATGGCCCAGATATTTCCCAGAAACTTGATAAACTGACGAAAGGTATTTCACACGCTGGGAGAACCGCCCCTTCCCTAAAGGGTGGGAGGAGAAGGGCTTTGTGTGCGCAGTTAGAGCCCGTGTGTGTGTTGGCGTGTGTATCACACCTTTTTGAAAAGTCGCGCAGCGGGAACGATTAAATCTGTTGACGGTTTCGCAGGTATTTCACACCTTTTGTAAAGGGTTTAGCGATACAAACCGTTGTAATTCGTACGTTGTTGTTGTTTTTCTATTGTGTCGTGTGTGTGTGTTCTTTCTTGTTTACGTTTGCCGGGCGAACACACCTGCATAAGGGTGTTAATGTAGAGATTTTGTAGCGCTTTTGTAGCGCTTTTGTTTTGTAAATTGTTGCAGGAAGTAAGAACAGGGCGACAAAATTTTGTCTCCCTTTCTAGTGTAGGAGGTAGCTGTTAGTTGTTTTTTAGTTGTTTTTGTTTTTCTGCCCCTCAGTATATATGTGTCGAGGACGACAACTTTTGTGAAGGGGGGCCAGTGTAGGAGGTAGGACTTGTACACATGTGGTGTCACATCTGGTATCAATAAAGGACAGGGACCTCTGTCCCTGCACATCAGTCTGGCCCATGCCGTGGTCTAGTGTGGTCATCTCTATAGCAGCATCCAGTATATATAACACTAGTGTTTCCCTTGTTGACAATTTTTCACAAAAGAGACCACTGAACTTCTTAAGTCCTTGATTCAAAATTAGAATTCAAGGACAAAACCTGGAGCAAATCAAACTCAGGAAAAAAAATTGTCGAAAACACCATCTTTAATCTGGTGACGCGAAGGGAAAGAATGCCAATCTCACACGCCACGCCCGGACCTGAGGAAAGACCAGAGTTCCTGCCTGCACTAAACCAATAATTTGTCATGCTGGTGACAACAATTGGCGGCTAATTGTGATCTGTCCGTCCGGTCAGTTATCGTGTGGGCCATAACACGTTCACGTCTTATCGGAACGACGCAAAAGTCGACATGCCCCTCACTCACGACTTTGGCAGGATGAAGACTTCAGATATATACTAAATTTAACAGGAACACCGAATTTTTCTACCCTTCACCACCAAGACAGCCCTGGCTACATCACTTATCGTGTGGACCATAACACGTTCACGTCTTATCAGAACGACGCAAAAGTCGACATGCCCCTCACTCACAAAATTGACCGGATGGAGGCTTCAGAAATATATTGGATTTCACCGGAACACCGAATTTTTTTACCCTTCGTCACCAAGACAGACTCCTAGCTAAACCAGTTATCGTACGGGCCATTAACACTTTCACGGCTTATCGGAACGTCGCAAAGTTAGTACTCACAAATTTGACCGGATGGAGACTACAGAAATATATTGGATTTCACCGGAACACCGAATTTTTACCCTTTATCACCCTGACAGTTCTATAAATCAGACATGAGGGCGGAACCTGTACATGGTGGTCATTAGTGGGAACCAGGATTAGCGCCTTTCTCCTGCATCTTGGATGAATAGAGCACGAGGCTAACGTTACAGGTATAACGTTACACGCGCTTTTACTACTTATTTCTTGGGTCCTTTGTTGCAGTTCCTAGTTGACTTTTCTGCTGAAGAACGAGGTCTGAATTAATTGCCAAGGTTGTCAATAGAAACAAGACATTTCTGCAAACTCACGCCCGTTACAATTAGTTAAGTTGTACTTCCTTACTTCAAAAGCGCTTTCGTGGAAACATGTCTTACCCGACTTACCGTGACGAGATTGATCTGTATGGGGGTTTTACAAAGTAAACTTTCTGCCCACACACTGACCGGGCGTGACCCTAAACCCCCTTGGTGAGTCACTGGTGAAACCTTCGGGAGGGGTTTACTCTCCAAGCAGAGTTTTAGGATTTGGCTTGTTTTTGACGACTTTCTGGGCGTTTTATGGGGCTTTCTTTTTGTATTGGTATAAATTTTTTTGCCTGTCAAATGTATTGCCCTGCCAATTTGATACTGTGCCAAGCAGATGTTTGGAGTTCGCTGGTCTTGACATCTTTTATGTTTTTTATCAGGCTTTCTTTCTTTTTTGTGCCGGTGTCTTTTTTCTAGCCTCTACTAGACTTCAGAAGCTGCTGGAAAGAGTAGAAATATTAGACAAACATTAGATAACATGCCAGGAGAGTTGCAGGTCCACAAAAGGAGTACATTTGCCGCTCCAGAGCTACTTTTTTGAGTAGAAACTCGACAGCCAAACCTTAGTGGGTTATCGGATATGGCTCTGCTAATTTGATGCTGTCTTGTCAATTGATACAGTCTTGCCAATTTGTTACTGACTTGCCAATTAGTTACTGTCTTGTAGCCACCACAGATCTGCTTGTAGATGAGGGCAGGTTGTTTGTATATGGGACATGTTGTTTGTATATGGGACATGTTGTTTGTACTCACACGTCACATGTAACACCAGTGGTGCATGGGACACCTGCTGCAGCTTCTGTTGTAAAAACTACAGTGGCACCAGTTCGTGAATAACAGATTACGTCTTCTCAAAACCTTCTGGAAGAAAATAGTAGAGAATTTTCTTATCTTAATTCCTATCATTCATTGCTCTGGTTAATTTTTTCCTCCCCTTTTTCTCCTAATTGAGGGAAACTATTTGATGCATGTCAAATTTGCAACCACTCCATGAATAGCTTTAGACTTCATCTTCTCAACATTTTCTGGCAAAACATTTCCTTATTATATTCTTATCACCCATTGTTATAGATTGTTATAGATCCTTGTGCTGACCATTTATTCCTCCTTTTCCACCAAATAACACAACTATGTACAAATGTAGTACTAGATACGCTATGATAAAATTTACATTTGCCTAAAGATGTCATATTGTGTAAGAAACATCCCAAACTTTCCAACCATATCTGTGGACCATCTCAAGTTCCCCCTACATGTGCACCAGTTTGTGTTCTATTCTCCACCCGACCGTAAGTCATTACCAAGTCTCTTTCATCCCCTCCTCACTGTTTGCTTTGGTTTTCCTGCTGACATGTTCCAAATTATCAAACACTACTTCTTAGGCCACACCAAGTTAATTTGTTGGTTCTCGGATTTTTTCCTGATTTGCAAAGAAAAAAAACCATAAAAACATTTGAGCCACTGAATCAGCTCAAAAATGCTCATATTTTTGCCCCAACAGTTGAAGGAAGTCCCTTCTCTTCAGAGTTGTTACAGTTTTTCCATCTATCAATGCAGTGGTTTGATTAAAAGTTTGAAATTCATTGTTTGAATTACAAACCAGCCCAGTATGTAGACTTCAAGGCTCCTATCATAGGATACCTAGGCCTATTTTTATTTTCTTTTTCGCTGTGTCACTTCATCATGATTTTTTCTGAAAAAATCTGAGAACTAACAAATAAAATTGGTGTGGCCTAAGTTTGCCTGCTGTGCTTATAATTGATGTTTTGGCAATATCCAATGGCTGAGACACTTTTGTTTTGCAAATGTTTGGAACAATTGTGAGCAGAGAAGACCCACAGTACCCCAGGTTATGGATCATCAGTCCCTTACAAAGTGCTGTCGCCTCCTGCAGTTTGTATGAAATACTTCAAATGTTTCTTGTGCTTCATCTTCTGTGACTAAGTCATTTTCTGCAGCATGTTCAAGATTTAGGAAACAAACTTGGGTCTGGCTCAAAATTTATATAGAAGTGACTAAAGTGTGAGAAACATGGGTTATCAAGATTCTAGTCTCCAGAAGACTTCTTTCGCGGGGTGAATAAATTGTAGAAATCGGCCTAAAAAGGGTATTAATTGGCCAGAGAAGCTCCATTCAAATGGAG